AAATGGCTAAATGTATAGCCGAAAGCGCTCGGATAAAAAGAACATTCGGACAGTTTTTATATAATTTATCATCTGAAAAGGAAAAAAATTATTAGATCGCATGAGAAATTATATAAAAAAACTAAATAAAAGCACCTCGTCTGTTGTATTCAATGAAATGTGCATATATTATATATATATGAGGGCGTGCGTGTTTGTACAATGTATGATGTTCGAAAGCAAATGATGAGACAGAATGGAAAAGCTTTTAAACGACGCGTGTCGCCGACATGATATGCGTTGCGTTCGGCTTCTTCAGGTCGGAATGAACGACAAAACTGTGTGTAAGGAAAATGCGCTAGGATTTTTGAGGACAAGACGAGCAATAAATTGAATTACCTTATCCGATCCGACGACCAGAGACCATATATACAGGGTGTATCAAAAACATTTTTACAAGCTTTGGGGGTGGATTCCTCACACCAAAACAAGGTCAAATCTCCATATAAACCTATGACTTCGTTTTTGAGTTAAGTTTAAAGTTTTACGCTGTTAAATGTACAATCCAAAATACAATCCAAGATACAATCCAAGATACAATACAAGATACAATACAAGATACAATACAAAAATACCTTTAAAAAAGTTATGGGCGGGCGGGTTCTTGATTCTATCGTAAAATTTCTTTAAACTTAATAACTCAAAAACGAAGGAGTTGCAGACATATGATTATGTGGACTTTTGTTCTTGGTTTGGTGTGAGGAACCAGACCCCAATATCTGTAATAGTATTTTTGATACACCCAGTATGTGTATGTATGCATGTATGTATATATTGGTGTTGTGATGTCTGTTGAAGTTTAAATCAACCCACTCCTAATGGATCTTTCCTTTTTCTCTATGAGCTCGTATACTGTATTCTGCTACAGATATACAGATAGATAGATAATTAGCAGAAGGATATCGATATCATATATATATATATATATATATATATATATATATATGAAAATCAAATTCTTTAGATACAAAACAAATTTGGACATAGATAGATAGATATGAATAGACTGAGGTAGATATGTACAGACGGAGACAGATAGATAGATATGAAAAGACTGAAAGACATGGATAGATAGATAGATAGATATGTACAAACAGACAGATATCTATAGACTTAGATAGATAGATAGATATGTACAAACAGATGGATATCTACAGACTGATATATATATATATATATATATATATATATAGATAGATAGATAGATAGATATCTATAGATAGATAGATAGATAGATAGATATGTATAGATAGATATCTACAGACTGAGATAGATAGATAGATAGATAGATAGATAGATAAATAGATAGATAGATATGTACAAACAGATATCTACAGACTTAGATAGATAGATACAAACAGATAGATGTCTACTGACTGATATAGATAGATAAGAAAATCTTTACACGTGTACGAAAATCAATAAGGAATACATTTACAAACACCGATTCATGTACTTTCTAATCCACAGGGACACTTTTTTTTTTACATCGTTTATTTGTTCACATTTATTTCTTTCCTTCAAAACCGGATCTTTTCTTTCCTCTTTCGTCAGCTTTTTCTTTTCCAATTCATTATTTCGTTGACATAATCCTAAGCTTTTTCATTTTTTTTTTCTCTCTCTTTTCTTTTCAACCATTTCCTTTCATCTTCAAAAACCTTCGCCCACAAGAAAATCTTTCGAAATTCAATTCCGAGCGGGCGGCCCTAATGTCGCTTTCAGCAAACGCTCTGCATAAACAATAGCGCTTCTGCGCAATACCAGTGTTCTTCTCTTCTATTTTATGCAGATGCACTATCAAGGCACGTTCCTTAATACTAAATGGGTTAGTCTGACACAAGGACAGATGGTTTTGCGTTAGAAAGGTTAAACAAAAAACATCTTTTTTGCAACGATTTTGATTACAAAGAAGCAAATTATAGTCGCCTCTGAAAAGTCAACATTCAAGATGCAGGCATTTTGTTATTTAAGAATACAAATACAAACACAAAAATTTAGACAGATCATGTTGCGCGAATATTAAAAAACAACAGCTGCTTATTTTGAAAATCAACACTCAAAGTGCTAGATGTTTTCATCTGCTAAAATTAGCTTGGTCCGCTTTACGTTCAAATGGCGATAAAAAGATCATGTTGCGCCAATCTAAACAATTAAGAAAGGCTTGCTTTCAAACTAACAAAGTCCTTGCTTTTCGCTATTAACTAAAATGCTTTAGTATGACGTAAGTTGAAGCGGTGAGAGAACAATTTGCGCCAATATGAAGGATTGCTTACGGTCAAATCACGCTGAAACACCGGTTCTCGTACGATCACCGAAGTTAAGCATCGTAGAGCCAGGTCAGTACTTAGATGGGGGGACCGCTTGGGAACACCTGGTACTGTAAGCCCCCAAAGTCCAACCCTTACACAGTCGGTGGTGTCGGTGGGGGGGTAAACAAGTGTCAGAGCTATACCGTCCGGAACTTCGTTCCTGGTAGGTCCACCCAAGGCGGACAGGTCTGACACACACACCTGGCTAACAAGGGCTCTGGTGAAAATCCAAGGAGCGTCTGCATCGGCAAAATTTGATTTCTTCTGGTCGTTCCTGTCTCTGCGTCTGTTCATCGAACCTCGCGGCAAGGCAAGCAGAACGTTAACCGAGTAAGCCTGGGTACCCTACTTCTGTAATTTATCCCAAGAATCTTCTTCTCATAATAGGAAGAAGCCGGCTCAATCCGCCCATGGTGAATGCCGCATCACACACACAATATGAAGGATTAAAAAAGAGATAATTGTTTTTTGCTATTTAATAAAATTAGCTTATTGATGTCTATGTTCAAATCGTAATAAAAAGATCATGTTGCGCCAATATAAACCATTCAGAAAGACCTTTTGAAATAATTATTTTTATTTACTGATAGTTCACCTAGTATAAGTCCCAAGAGCCACTCAAAGTAGAGGGTTACTGAATGAGATTGAAAGGGAGAGGAAGGCGGGGAGTAAGAGAATATTACGAGGGCATGTCGGATAGATATCAGTTGACTCTGGACTTAAAGAGACCAAGATTTTATTTGTCAGGGAAGCATCCTCTCGGAAGTTTGTTCCACGAAGTAACAGCTTTTAGGAAGAAGCTGAGTGAAACTTGTCACTTCAGAACGTGGGCGATCATGGCTCCCCACAACTACCTGTCTTTTGTTGCTATAAGTAGCTTTTGACACTTTGTCCTTGTTTCGTCAAAGTTGTCAAATAGGTTACTCAGTATTTCCCCTTTTACTGTTGCCTGCCGAGTGTTAAATTCTCCAAGCCTTATTTATATTATTTGCATATGGACTATTGTCCCCGTCTTTGTTGTTCTATTACAACGTTTCTGCCGCTGTGTCCTTCGGCCTTCATGGACAACAAAGATGAGGATAATAGTCTGTATATAAATAACGATAACTCTGAAATTCAGGCAGAAATTCTCCAAGCTTTCTTTCTTCGTTATGTGCTCGCAAAACTTCAGCCATTTTTATTGCATGTCTACGGAGAGTGAGAAGAAGGGACTAAGCACAAAGTACAAGAAGACAGAATGCGTGGTCATCAGTAAAACGACGAGCCCGGAATACGATTTGCAGGTCGGCGACACTAGAATCAAGCAGACGCAGAAGTTTAAATACCTGGGAAGCGTCTTGACAGAGGACGGTAAGTGCGAAACTGAGATCCGCAGGCGTATTGGGATGGCGAAGGATACATTCCAAAAGCTTGGAAGAGTATTGCGAGACAGGAGGATTTCTTTTGGTAACAAAGAAAAGAATACTGAGCTGTTACGTGACATCTGTCCTTCTTTACGGCAGCGAATGTTGGACGATTTCCTCAAAGATTAAGAAGAGATTCGAGGTGACGGAGATGTAGTTCTCCAGAAGGATGCTAAGGATATCATGGGCCGAGCGTGTGAGCAACGATGAAGTCTTAGGTTGCAAACAAGGAGGAGGCTTATACTTAACATCAGGAAGAGGCAGCTGAAGTTTCTGGGACACATAATGACGAAGGAGGGCCTAGAGAATCTGATACTCACAGGTCGAATAGAGGGAAAGATAGACAAGGGAAAACAACGCGTGACATACCTGACGAGCTTGAGCAAATGGATGACAGAACGTGGTCTGGGTGAGGAATCAAAAGGAAAGAAACTTGTTGAGAGCTGCAAAGGATAGTGGGAGGTGGAGAGCCATGATCGCCTACGTCCTGAAAGCAGATAAAAAGAAAGCCGTTTACGAAAGAATGTGCATTGCGGTGAAATGGATAACAGCTCGGAATGAGAACTTAGAGAGCCGAGTTCGATTTCCATTGGAGTTCGATACATTCACTTACGCACAAATACCCTTGGGAAAGATATGATTCCGTCTTTCTCCTCATCAGCACGTTTCAAATATCTTTCACTTTTCTGTTTTCTGAACAGCTGCTGCCAAGCATGTAAATGATTTTGGCACAACCGTCACGCCCTTACATGCACTCAGCACATACACCTTTTCTTCAAAAAAGATCTCTGTGTGTGTGTGTGTGTGTGTGTATATATATATATATAAACTGATTTAAAATATGGCAAAAAACCATATTTTAAATCAGTTAATTTATAATATTTATGCTCTGTAAATTTACATTGAGCACTGTTTTGTAAAAATAAAAATAAAAAATATACATGAACACCGGATTATATATATTACTGCTTTTCTTTTTATTTTTTATTTATATATAAATAAAAAGAAAAAAACAATACATATAATCCGAAAATATATATATATATATATATATATATATATATATATATATATATATATATATATATATATAAATATTAATCGAATTTTTTATATTATAATCTTACTGTTTATTTCTTTTTATTTATAAACATTCATTTTACTGTTCTTTCTTTCTTTTACTTTCTTTCTTTATATATATATATATATATATAATTTTTTTCATCTCTCTCTCTCTATCAATATATCTATGTATCTAATTATTTTCATATCTATCTATCTGTCTCATTCTGTTCATATCTATCTATCTATCTATCTATCTATCTATCTATCTATCTATCTATCTCATTCTGTTCATATCTATCTACTCCCGTATGGCACAAGGCTACAATTTCGACGTGTCCAATGAAATTCGATCTTATTACACAAGGGTCTGCGAAATTACCTGCTAAGCGCTACTTCAAGGTGAGGACTCCCGTTGTTTGACAGACATAAATATATAATGCTTGAGTGAACCGACCAGATGTGAACTTTCCTATATATATATATATATATATATATATATATATATATATATATATATATATATATTGTTTGAGAGAGGGATATGCAGTATCTGTCGATATTACGAAGTCGATAGGACAGACAGAAGGTCTATTCAAATGCATAATAAAGAAATGAAAAAAAAAAAAAAAAAAACAAACCCCAAACCCCCCAAAAAACAAGTGATGAAATGGGTGATATTAAAGGAAAAAATGCGGATTTCTGGGCGTTACCAAGTCAGAAGGCGTTGACACATAACGGAGCAGGGCCTGTCGTATACGATGCGTTTTCAATCTTGTCTGGAGCTTTTGTTTAAACTCGCAAAAGCCTGTATTTCAATTTCCATCATTATTTATCTATCTATTATCTTTCTATCTATCTATCTATCTATCTATCTATCTATCTATTTCAGTCGCATTCATTCTATCTATCTATCTATCTATCTATTATCTATTTATCTATCTATCTATCTCATTCTGTTAATATCTATCTATCCCATTCTGTTCATATTTATCTATGTATCTATCTCATTTTATTCATATCTATCTATCTATCTATCTATCTATCTATCTATCTATCTATCTCTAAATCTTTTCATATTCTATTTAAGTGGTCTATCTATCTATCTATCTATCTATCTATCTGTCTATCTATCACGATATGTTTTATCATCAATCACCTTTTTCATGTTCATTATCTATTCTATCTATCTATCTATCTATCTATCTATCTATCTATCTATCTCATTCTGTTAATATCTATCTATCCCATTCTGTTCATATTTATGTATGTATGTATCTATCTATCTATCTCATTTTATTAATATCTATCTATCTATCTATCTATCTATCTATCTATCTATCTATCTATCTATGTAGAAGCCGTCGTTAACGAGATAATTTCACAAGTGTTTCCTACTTTCACAAGATTCCATCCTTGAGACTAAATTTGGCATGATATTTTCAAAGAAATACGTTGTACTATAAAATATGAAAATGTATATATCACGCTGCCTTTTCTTGTTCAGGTTCATTTAGTTTCTGACTAGTAAACTCAAATTAAAATTAACTAAAGATGTCACAAGCTCAGCATCACCCTTCATTCACAAAATATCATGAACATTTCAGCATCTCGTAAATGGAAATAAAACAATGCTATTATTTGAAAAACTGCATTGTTGAAATGAATGCCTGCAAGATTTCACAGCTCTTCAGCAAAATTTCCTTCATAGTCAGCCTATGAAAAATTTCCAGCCCACACTCGAATACATGGAAATAAAGAATGCTTATTAATAAGAAGAGTTGAAATGAATGCATGCAAGATGTCACAGCTCTAGCATCACTCCTTCATAGTCAGCCTATGAACATTTCAGCCCATCTCGTACATGGAAATAAACAATGCAGTTATTAATAACTGCATTGTTGAAATGAATGCCTGCAAGATTTCACAGCTCTAGCAAAATTCCTTCATAGTCAGCCTATGAACATTTCAGCCCACACTCGTACATGGAAATAAACAATGCAGTTATTAATAAGAAGAGTTGAAATGAATGCATGCAAGATTTCACAGCTCTAGCATCAATCCTTCATAGTCAGCCTATGAACATTTCAGCCCACACTCGTACATGGAAATAAAACAATGCAGTTATTAATAAGAAGAGTTGAAATGAATGCCTGCAAGATTTCACAGCTCTAGCATCAATCCTTCATAGTCAGCCTATGAACATTTCAGCCCACACTCGTACAAAATAAATTATGCAGTTATTAAATGGAAGAGAAATTAATTAAAGATTTCATAGTTATTAATAAGAAGAGTTGAAATGAATGCCCATTTCATATCTTTTCACAGCTCTAGAATCAAATTAATGCCTTCATAGTCAGCCTATGAACATTCGTACCTTGGCTTGTTTGAACATTTCAATGCACGTTATTGGAAAGAAACAATGCAAATAAGAAGAAAATGAATGCAAAGATTTCACAGCTCTAGCATCAATCCTTCATAGTCAGCCTATGAACATTTCAGCCCATCTAATACATGAAATAAACAATGAAATTAATGCAAAGATTATTAATAACTGCATTGTTGAAATTGAATGCCTGCAAGATTTCACAGCTCTAGCATCAATCCTTCAAGTCAGCCTATGAACATTTCAGCCCACACTCGTACATGGAAAGAAACAATATTAATAAGAAGAAAAATTAATGCCTTTTTCATAGTCAGCCATCATTTGAACATTTCAGCCCACAACTTTTTCAAAATACCCACACGTTCCTGGAAAGAAACAATGCAGTTATTAATAAGAAGAAACAAAATGAATGCCTGCAAAATTTCACAGCTCTAGCATCAATCCTTCATAGTCAGCCTATGAACATTTCAAGAAGAGCCCACACTCGTACCTGGAAAGAAACAATGCAATTATTAATAAGAAGAGTTGAAATTAATGCCTGCAAGATTTCACAGCTCTAGCATCAATCCTTCATAGTCAGCCTATGAACATTTCAGCCCACACTCTCGTACATGGAAAGAAACAATGCAGTTATTAATAAGAAGAGTTGAAATTAATGCCTGCAAGATTTCACAGCTCTAGCATCAATCCTTCATAGTCTGCCTATGAACATTTCAGCCCACACTCGTACATGGAAATAAACAATGCAGTTATTAATAAGAAGAGTTGAAATGAATGCATGCAAGATTTCACAGCTCTAGCATCAATCCTTCATAGTCAGCCTATGAACATTTCAGCCCACACTCGTACCTGGAAAGAAACAATGCAGTTATTAATAAGAAGAGTTGAAATGAATGCATGCAAGATTTCACAGCTCTAGCATCACTCCTTCATAGTCAGCCTATGAACATTTCAGCCCACACACTCGTACCTGGAAAGAAACAATGCAGTTATTAATAAGAAGAGTTGAAATGAATGCATGCAAGATTTCACAGCTCTAGCAATCACTCCTTCATAGTCAGCCTATGAACATTTCAGCCCACACTCGTACCTGGAAAGAAACAATGCAGTTATTAATAAGAAGAGTTGAAATGAATGCATGCAAGATTTCACAGCTCTAGCATCACTCCTTCATAGTCAGCCTATGAACATTTCAGCCCACACTCGTTCCTGGAAAGAAACAATGCAGTTATTAATAAGAAGAGTTGAAATGAATGCCTGCAAGATTTCACAGCTCTAGCATCAATCCTTCATAGTCAGCCTATGAATATTTCAGCCCACACTCGTACCTGGAAAGAAACAATGCAGTTATTAATAAGAAGAGTTGAAATGAATGCATGCAAGATTTCACAGCTCTAGCATCACTCCTTCATAGTCAGCCTATGAACATTTCAGCCCACACTCGTACCTGGAAAGAAACAATGCAGTTATTAATAAGAAGAGTTGAAATGAATGCCTGCAAGATTTCACAGCTCTAGCATCACTCCTTCATAGTCAGCCTATGAACATTTCAGCCCACACTCGTACCTGGAAAGAAACAATGCAGTTATTAATAAGAAGAGTTGAAATTAATGCCTGCAAGATTTCACAGCTCTAGCATCAATCCTTCATAGTCAGCCTATGAACATTTTCAGCCCACACTCGTTCCTGGAAAGAAACAATGCAGTTATTAATAAGAAGAGTTGAAATGAATGCCTGCAAGATTTCACAGCTCTAGCATCACTCCTTCATAGTCAGCCTATGAACATTTCAGCCCACACTCGTACCTGGAAAGAAACAATGCAGTTATTAATAAGAAGAGTTGAAATGAATGCCTGCAAGATTTCACAGCTCTAGCATCACTCCTTCATAGTCAGCCTATGAACATTTCAGCCCACACTCGTACCTGGAAAGAAACAATGCAGTTATTAATAAGAAGAGTTGAAATGAATGCCTGCAAGATTTCACAGCTCTAGCATCACTCCTTCATAGTCAGCCTATGAACATTTCAGCCCACACTCGTACCTGGAAAGAAACAATGCAGTTATTAATAAGAAGAGTTGAAATGAATGCCTGCAAGATTTCACAGCTCTAGCATCACTCCTTCATAGTCAGCCTATGAACATTTCAGCCCACCTCGTACCTGGAAAGAAACAATGCAGTTATTAATAAGAAGAGTTGAAATGAATGCCTGCAAGATTTCACAGCTCTAGCATCACTCCTTCATAGTCAGCCTATGAACATTTCAGCCCACACTCGTTCCTGGAAAGAAACAATGCAGTTATTAATAAGAAGAGTTGAAATGAATGCCTGCAAGATTTCACAGCTCTAGCATCACTCCTTCATAGTCAGCCTATGAACATTTCAGCCCACACTCGTACCTGGAAAGAAACAATGCAGTTATTAATAATAAGAGTTGAAAGTTGATGAATGCCTGCAAGATTTCACAGCTCTAGCATCAATCCTTCATAGTCAGCCTATGAACATTTCAGCCCACACTCGTTCCTGGAAAGAAACAATGCAGTTATTAATAAGAAGAGTTGAAATGAATGCCTGCAAGATTTCACAGCTCTAGCATCAATCCTTCATAGTCAGCCTATGAACATTTCAGCCCACACTCGTTCCTGGAAAGAAACAATGCAGTTATTAATAAGAAGAGTTGAAATGAATGCCTGCAAGATTTCACAGCTCTAGCATCACTCCTTCATAGTCAGCCTATGAACATTTCAGCCCACACTCGTTCCTGGAAAGAAACAATGCAGTTATTAATAAGAAGAGTTGAAATGAATGCCTGCAAGATTTCACAGCTCTAGCATCACTCCTTCATAGTCAGCCTATGAACATTTCAGCCCACACTCGTACATGGAAATAAACAATGCAGTTATTAATAAGAAGAGTTGAAATGAATGCCTGCAAGATTTCACAGCTCTAGCATCACTCCTTCATAGTCAGCCTATGAACATTTCAGCCCACACTCGTTCCTGGAAAGAAACAATGCAGTTATTAATAAGAAGAGTTGAAATGAATGCCTGCAAGATTTCACAGCTCTAGCATCACTCCTTCATAGTCAGCCTATGAACATTTCAGCCCACACTCGTACCTGGAAAGAAACAATGCAGTTATTAATAAGAAGAGTTGAAATGAATGCATGCAAGATTTCACAGCTCTAGCATCATAGTCCTTCATAGTCAGCCTATGAACTTTTCAGCCCACCCTCGTACATGGAAATAAACAATGCAGTTATTAATAAGAAGAGTTGAAATTAATGCCTGCAAGATTTCAAATGCTCTAGCATCACTCCTTCATAGTCAGCCTATGAACATTTCAGCCCACCCTCGTACATGGAAATAAACAATGCAGTTATTAATAAGAAGAGTTGAAATGAATGCATGCAAGATTTCACAGCTCTAGCATCAATCCTTCATAGTCAGCCTATGAACATTTCAGCCCACCCTCGTACATGGAAATAAACAATGCAATTATTAATAAGAAGAGTTGAAATTAATGCATGCAAGATTTCACAGCTCTAGCATCACTCCTTCATAGTCAGCCTATGAACTTTTCAGCCCACCCTCGTACATGGAAATAAACAATGCAGTTATTAATAAGAAGAGTTGAAATGAATGCATGCAAGATTTCACAGCTCTAGCATCACTCCTTCATAGTCAGCCTATGAACATTTCAGCCCACACTCGTACATGGAAATAAACAATGCAGTTATTAATAAGAAGAGTTGAAATGAATGCATGCAAGATTTCACAGCTCTAGCATCAATCCTTCATAGTCAGCCTATGAACATTTCAGCCCACACTCGTACATGGAAATAAACAATGCAGTTATTAATAAGAAGAGTTGAAATGAATGCCTGCAAGATTTCACAGCTCTAGCATCACTCCTTCATAGTCAGCCTATGAACTTTTCAGCCCACACTCTCGTACATGGAAATAAACAATGCAGTTATTAATAAGAAGAGTTGAAATTAATGCATGCAAGATTTCACAGCTCTAGCATCAATCCTTCATAGTCAGCCTATGAACATTTCGGCCCACACTCGTACCTGGAAAGAAACAATGCAGTTATTAATAAGAAGAGTTGAAATGAATGCATGCAAGATTTCACAGCTCTAGAATCAAAACTTCATAGTCAGCCTATGAACATTTCAGCCCACACTCGTACCTAGAAAGAAACAATGCAGTTATTATTAATAAGAAAATGAATGCATGCAAGATTTCACAGCTCTAAATCATGAATAGCCAGCAAGATTTTTCAGCTCTAGCATCAATTTTCATAGTCAATGCCTATGAATATTTGAAATGAATGCACAAATTTCACAGCTCTAGCATCATCCTTCATAGTCAGCCTAAGAAACAATGCAGTTATTGGAAATAAAGAAGAGTTGAAATGAATGTTGAAATGCCTGCAAGATTTCACAGCTCTAGCATCACTCCTTCATAGTCAGCCTATGAACATTTCAGCCCACACTCGTACATGGAAATAAACAATGCAGTTATTAATAAGAAGAGTTGAAATGAATGCCTGCAAGATTTCACATCTCTAGCATCACTCCTTCATAGTCAGCCTATGAACATTTCAGCCCACACTCGTACCCGGAAAGAAAACAATGCAGTTATTAATAAGAAGAGTTGAAATGAATGCCTGAAAGATTTCACAGCTCTAGCATCAATCCTTCATAGTCACCCCACCCTCGTACATTCAAACATATTTTTCTTTCAAAGTTTATTCCTATAAGAAACCAATCACACTTTCCCAATATAAATATGTGACAATCAAAAACACCTTATAACTAAACCGGATGAAAGGTTTGTTATTTGAAGAGTCCAATAAGTATAATTCTTCTTTGCCTGCTTCCGATAAAAACTAGGTTACATTTTTTTCTTCCTTGTCTCCTCAGGACTTGAAAGCGTTGGACGTCATGGCTAAATTTATATAATTTTATAAGTCTAACATGGAAGTGATTTAAAACGGGCAAGTTTTGAAATTGAGTCAGCTGTTTGGACCGATACTAAAGATAGTGATTCTTTTTTCGTTTTCTATGTGCCGTGTCCATTCAGGATGTTACCGATCATGGCTCTCCACAACTTCCTTCTCTTTGTAGCCTTTAGTGAACTTTGGGTTTTTGCTATATCTACTAATCCATGTTCTGCCAACCATTTACACACGCTGCTATCTTCTCCGTTTATATACAGTACTGCTTTCAGGAGGTGGGCGATCATGGCTCTCTACATCTTCCATGTTAAAAATATCTACCTCTGTATATCGTAAATATACATTTAATTAATGAAAAAGTCAAGGAATGAATACCAACGCTTTAGAGACAAGTATTTATTAAATGCCATGACCCTTCGGGACGTAGGTGATCATGGTTTTTCACTGTTTCCTTTTCTTTAATATGCGTAAAATTGTCGTAAGTTCTCATAGTAAAAAAAAAAAACAACATTTACCAGCAATACAAATAAAAAATATTGCAAGCAATACATATTTGTAAGGAAAAAAGTATTGCTAGATATACATTTTTGTAAAAGAAATTATTAATCCTCCCAAGAAAATTAAATTTAGTCATTAAATGACCCATAAGGAGTTGATATGTCGCTAAACAAACAAAAACAAAAAAATACATTTATCTGTAGTTGAAGGCATACAATTTAGTTGCAGCCTAAAATTATGTTCAAAATATTTAGATTTCGGCATTAAATAATAAACCACTAAGCAAAATCAAACAAGAAACCAAGACGAGTCATATAATATCATGTGGATATCACATATAAGAGGATAGATAGATATCACATATAATAAGATGGATATCACTTATGAGAGGATGGATATCACATATGATAAGATGAATATCACATATAAGACGATGGATGGATATCACATATAATAAGATGGATATCACATATAATAGGATGGATATCGCATATAATATCATGGATGGATATCACATATAATAAGATGGATATCACATATAATAGGATGGATATCGCATATAATATCATGGATGGATATCACATATAATAAGATGGATATCACTTATAATAGGATGGATATCACATATAATAGGATGGATATCACATATAAGAGGATAGATATCACATATAATAGGATGGATATCACATATAAGAGGATGGATTGATATCACATATAATAAGAGGGATGGATATCACATATAATAAGATGGATATTGGTTGATAACTTTATTTTTTCAAATTAATTTTAATGGAGATTTAATTCTTTTTTTCTCTTCTTTAACACTCTCTTTTCGAATCCTATACATACTTTGGAAGGGTTGTGTTATTTCTATATTTCTATATTTCCGTTGACATTGTACTATATAGTTGCAATATTTTGACTTCAACGATCTTCCTATAGAACCAAAGGCGTACATGTGAGCCAAAGTCAAAAGTTACCCAGTCCACTGTTTCGCAAGCGTTTGAATACTCCGAAACTCTGGCATCTGGTGCAATGGGGGAGGTGCTGCTGAAGGGTTGGAATCTTCAGGACCAGGTTTCCCACACTGTGAGGCTGTTAATATGCTTGAATGCAAGAACACCGATGACAATGTTTCCGTTGTAGCATGAGGCTATGATAGATCAAGTGTATACTAGATTATGACCAGGTATTTACCAGTTTCTCCATCGTTGCACGATGCGATACAGGTTATTTCAACGTGAAATGCACATGCACATGGGCCAAGGACAAATTCACCGCCGACTTTTGTATCCACCGTTCCTCCCTTTTTAGTGCAATGAGGGAGGTGCTGCTGGGGGTTGGATTCTCCGGAACCAGACTCCCCCCCATAGCTTTTTCTAAAAAAAATCATATCACCCAAGCAAGGCACTGAAGCCAAGGGGTTGCCGTGGATGAAAGAAGAGAGTGAAGAAAATGGAGAAAGGACGATAAAAATAAACAGAACTCTAAAAGGAAAAAAAAAGAACAGATACTACACTTACATCGTAGGAACAATTGTTAGAAAGCAGCACAGAGGTCCTAGGCAAATTGCACAGTTATTTCGAAGTGCTGAGCCATCCGCATGTAAAACATAGATACCTATTTTGATGGGTAATATGCAAGTAAATTTGACGGGTACTATGCAAATAAATAAAAAAAATATATGAAAAGAGTGAAAAAGACATCAGTAAGGGGATATGAAGCAAGAACGAGAGATTGGAGAGAGAGAGAGAGAGAGAGAGAAAGAGAGAGAGAAAAAGAGAGAAAAAGAAAGAGAAAGAGAGAGAGAGAGAAAGAGAGAAAGTGAGGGAGAGAGAGTAATAAGAATACTTAGAGAAATAATAATAATAATAATAGTGTAAAATCGAAAACGTTTGTGGTTCATAGAAAGAAATAAAAGTGGAAGTGGCTAACACCCATAACACAGAATTTTGCCATGGCAACAAAGTGCAACGTACAAGCACAACCTTGTCGTTGCTTTTCTTCCTGTTCAGTGTCGGCCTCTAGGGGGAAATAAGAACTCCCAATCACTTTATCTTGTGTACCTCGTCGCCGTGGCAACAGGTATACAATAACTGTTCTCTGGGCTGAGGTGGGGACACCAGAGTGGTTGTCGCCAAAGTAATGGAGGAATTTTACTGGCTTATGCGATATAGCCGCCGACGTAAAACAGACACGGTGAACGTTGGGCGTCATTGATAATCTGTCCGGTTGGAATGATTTATAAGTTTGTTTTGAGTCGTCGACCAGTGTCGATACGCGGTGAAAGAGTAGGGAAGAGTGCGGGAAATCGAATGACCAGAGATAATTGGACCATCGGCTAATGGTCTTCGAGCCTCTATTGACCAAACTATCTATCGTTGAGGCATTCGCGAGTTTTTATGTTTTGCTTTTTTTTTCTTATTTTTCAAAGATCGATTTAAGCTCATATATGATACGCGTACATTACGAAGGCGTCTAGCGTGAAGTCATGATCAGTATGTAAGCTTTGTAGGCTCTCTCGGTACTTGCTGATGAATACAATGCGATCACAGCAGACTTCGCTGTTGGGGTCTTGCTATGAAACTATCCCAAGACGATTAAATTATATTAAAAAAAAAAAAGTAATGAAAACTGATGATGAAGCCTGCCCTATAATGATGTCCAATCAGAAAATCTCGCATGCTGTTTTTCGTTGGTTCGATCTTCGTTAAATTTGGATTTGTGGTCTGATAATGAACTCTCCAGATAACAAAATGATTCTACAACGTTTTTGCAACCTTATATAGAGGTTACAAGATTCTCCACAAGTTTCCCGTAACGTTACAAGGTAACGTTATAAATTTGTTGTCTTGTAACATTATTGTGCACTATGTGCCGTGTCCCTTCAGAAAGTGGACGATCATGGTTCTCCACAACTTTCACTCCTTAACAATTTTTCTGTCTGTGTTATGGGACCTTACCCATAATAACATAATGGACTATTCCATACGTAATAAATACTGCGCCTCAAGAGGAAGCAGGGAGTTCAGCCTGAAGTCGGGTGACCGGCTGATCGGTTGAACTCTCTGCCTTCGGGCGAGCAGGAACCCGAACGAGGCTACGCCGAAGGGCGAAGACTCTTTCGGGGAGGTAAACCGACCCTGAACCCGTTTATACGGGTTCAAAGGGCATATTTTTGGCCGAGCCCACGGGCTCGGAGATCCCACGTTAAACCGGCCTTGTGTCACATGATACCCTCGTGGGTCGGGGTGACTAAATACTGTTCAGCCTGAAGTATGGAGTGAGGTCAGTCAGAAATCCGTCAGGAGTCTGTCAGTCAGTCAAAGCGAGCGAGTCAGTCAGTCGAGTCAGAGGCAGTCCGAGTCGCGTTCAGACAATTACTACAAGATATTGGAATAGTGATACTAGTCGAGACTACATTGTTCTCCCTACTAAACCTGATTGTTCGTACTAACACTTTCTACTTCTCTGTATATATTCCTGTTTGTAATATATCCATACCTGTGTTCGAGTTCTTTATTGGTTCTACCTTGGACTATAACCGTGGTACAAGGAACTGGACCATAACAGTCTGCATTTTGGGGATGAGGAGTTATCGTTATTTACACTATTTATATTTGAAGTATTATCCTCATCTTTGTTGTTGTTATCCAAAAGTTTCGTCCCTTGAGCCACAGATTTACATTCATCCGGATAATCTACAGGGAATTCCGAACTGAACCCTTTATTTAATCTATAGGGGTAGACTGTTTTAATCCACCAGGCCTACGGATTAGCGGATTAAAGCAGTCTAATAGCGGATTAGAGCGTTGGTTCGTAAATTTAGTTACATAGTGATGGTGATTGGTGCAGGAGGTACGGTGGAGGTAGAGTAATGGATAGCGGCTCGGATTGAGGAATCGGAGAGCCGAGTTCGAATTCCAGTCGAATCCATTACATTCACTTACGTGCTAATACCCTTGGGAAAGGTATGAATCCTCTTCTCCACCCCCAGCTATTTACTCCCAGGACAGACCGGGTTCTATAGCACTGAATGTAGAAAAAAATGGCAACCTACTGCGGGAGAAAATCTGTCTAGTCATGTATCGAAAGATACATGATCGCCTAAGTGTGTATCACACATGCTAATACCATTGGGAAAGGTATGAATCCTCTTTTTCTACCCTCCCAGCTATGTGTAAATAGCAGGACAGACCGGGTTCTATAGCATTGGATGGCAACTGGTCTACCACAGAAAGAAATGGCAACCTACTGCAGGAAAAATCTGCCTCATCAGTCATGTATCGAAAGATACATGATCACCTAAGCGTGTATCACGCATGGTACATAACTGACTGATATTCACTTACGTGGTAATATCCTTGGGAAAGGTATGAATCCTCTTCTTCTCCTCCCCTAAGCTATGGGTAAATAACAGGACAGAACGGGTTCTATAGCCTTGGATGGCAACTGGTCTACTGCAGAAAGAAATGGCAAACTACTGCGGAAAAAATCTGCCTCGTCAGTCAAACTGTCCTTTTTTTGCTTCCATTTTTGCTCCTAATATCAGTCCATGGCATTCTCAGCATCCTACCGTAGAACTATATTTCTTTTGCCTGAAGTTCTTCAGGCTAAAGAGCTTCTTTTTCATCTTTAAAGTGAATATCCAGCATTCACTGCCATATAGGAGAACCAATATTATATAATAGTTCAACACTTTACGTTGTTTTGAAAGAAATTTTCCTATTTCTTAACCCATTAACTGCCAAATTTGTTAATGCTCATTTTGGGCCCAGACAGGTGTCTTAGGAGTTTATTTATTCCTTATGTTTAATTTCAGTACTTACCATTGTCGTTTTTATTGAAACTAGAACATCAAATATATATGTGTATAAAACATCAAAAAATAATATTGATTAGAAATAATAAAAAATACTTTTCAAAATAGTCATTATTTTTCTCCTCGTGAAATGTAAAATTACGACAGAAAGTGTCTTCTTACGCCTAATAATAAAAACTTTAAAGGCGAAGTGTTGTAAAATATACCTCTGCAAATGCAATTCAATGGAAATACAAGGAATAACATGTAGTGAGTTTAATTTTAACAGATCCCCAAATGGGATTCATGGCAGGTAATGGGTTAATACTTAGCTTATATATTTCACTATTTAATCGCACCTTTTGTTTTCGTGTCAGCTCATAAGTTTAAAATACAGATCGTTAAATATCAGGTCATCCCATAAGTTCTGTCTGAATTTTGAATAAAGAAAACAAGTGACCAAATGTTACATTTAATTACAGATTCAATCAACAATGTATTTTCCCTGATTATCTATGACTTCCTTCCATCTATTAACAAGCTTACTAATTCCATTACAGATTTTTTATTGCTGGTAATATTTTTTTTTCAAAAATAATTTTTCCAAAATGCATTGCTGGTAATAAAACATTTTTATAATTTCATAGGGTTTTGACCCCTTTTAGGGGTTAACTATTTGCCCATAACTGGTGCTACCCCTCCGGGTCAGGGTGGACCTGGAAACACCAGCAATTAAGAGGTGGTTGCACGCTTGTCAAAATCTGATCAGAGGCCGTACTGTTGGACGTAGTTCATCGTTTTATCGTCTTGCTCAAGACGCGGATGTAGTTTATTGTCTTACCCAGGACGCGGATGTAGTTTACCGCCTTACCCAGGACACGGATAGATAGATAGATAGATAATAAAAAGACAGGGATAGATAGATAGATGGAAAATAGAATATATATATATATATATATATATATATATATATATATATATATATATATATATATAGATAGATATAGATAATGGACAGACTGAGATAGTGTTATATACCGTTCTGGGATGAACACTAATGAGTATATTCCAATCATCAAAATTACGTTGGACATTATTGTAAGTGGGGGTTATATGCTGTCTAAGTAGTCCATCACTAGAAGTGGTTTACCTACTTCAACGATTCTGGCGAGTATTGTATTTTGTTGATATTATAAAATTACCATTTCATTTCCAACCTCTGTTTTGGTTATTCCATTTCAGTAACCCTTTTGGGTTATTAATATATATATATATATATATATATATATATATATATATATATATATATAATGATAAATATATTGAGATAAACAGGTTGATAGGTAGATAATGAACAGACAGATTGTGTTATATACATTCATTTTCAACTTCCCTTTTGGTTATTCCTCATTCAATAACCATTTTTAGGTTACAGCAGGTCTTCATCACAATGTTTAGGGAGGAGTAGATGCGATAGGCAACAATAGACTACAAAATAACTCAATACTGATCGCTGCATTGGATTAATATTTTAGCTTACCTTTTAAAAGTTCAACAATAATTCTTCTGTTGTCATTTAGTTTAAAGACAGTTTGATGCACGTAGGTTCTTACTTTCCGTGCAAACACTTATTTTTATTTCATGGGTGACTTTCGCTGAATTTCGCAATTCATTTCGATTATTCCCAAGTTTATTTCCAAGTTATAAAAATTCATCGCAAAAAAATCCCGTAAAAATCACCGAAAACAATCGTAGTTATGAAGACTTGTGAATCCAGATTTACAGGATAGCGGGTCTGGGTAAGACTCAGAATGTTTTTAATTTGATCACGGAATCGACCTGAATCCACAATGGTATGATATGTTGGGCAACATAACCCAGTGACACACTGACATTAGCATTTATTATATAGAAGAAGAGATATTTAGAAGTTAGAGAGTTGTGTCCCTTTAATTGAAAAAGTGTGACATTCACATTTATTATATAGATGTTATTCTGCTTTCACATTCAATGCATGGTAGATGATGCTCACCTTTTGTTCATATACATGTTTGTGTGGACATAATTACTATAGGTGGTGATATGTGTGTTTTATGTTGTAGTTTTGCTGAAGTTATATTTTGAAATACAGTTTGATTTCTTTAAGAAATTCTAGGATATTATATGAATTAATATTCTGAAAGAGACTTTCATGTTGCCGATTTGATTTTTTTTCGCGGCATATCAATACATTTATGGGTTATTTAATGCTGAAATCTAACTATTTTGAACACAGTTTTATAGCTTCAACTACAGATAAAATATAGTGTTGGTCATTTTGCTATAAAATTTATTGTTGATATTTCTGTTTTAAAAATGTATTGTTGGTAATTTTACTATAAATATAAATCGTTGCTAATTTTTTTATATAAAAATG